AGAAATAAAAATATTGTGCGATTAAATAATCTGGTTCGAGCATAAAAAATTAAATCCTATTATCAATTTCTCGTCTTATTAATAGCTATTACTTAAATTGCACATTCTCTTCGGTACTATTCCCCTACGTGATACCGACTGAATTATTGAAACGACTCGAAACGCACCGTGCAAGGACTGAATTATACACGTCGATGAGTCTACATACGTATACTGCTCAAAACAAAAAATACATCAAATTGCACTTACTACAGATCCAACTAAAAATGACAAAATTCTAATTAAATAATTGTAACAAAAACAAGAAAGGAATGGCACGAATGTAATAAAGGAAATTTCAGAATATAGAAATGATCTACTAGAATATTTAATGTTTACAAATCAAGACCGAATCTCCAATAGAGACCCGGTCTTCTGGGCATGGGTCTCGCGGGGAACTGGTGTCAGGGCATCTCGGTGTTCAGCCCAGCGTCTGAAACCACCTGAGCAGCGTCGTTCTTACCAACAGCAGCCCTCTGACCATCCAGCACGACGTTGTTGTTCGTTTCTGAATGCTGGCTGGCCAAGTGCTTCCTCAGAGCCGCCTGCCTGGTGAACTTGGCGTCGCACCTGGTGCACGGTATCTCGATGCTCGTCATTGAGGACGATTGCTCACCGTTGGCCAGCCTCGGCTTGTGCCACCGCCGGTGGGAAGCCAGATTCGCCGGACAGGAGAACCTCTTGTCGCATTCGGGGCACCTGTACTCGACGTGGGCTATCCTGGAGCATCGGTGCTGAGCCAGCTGGAACGCGTCCTCGTGTAACTGCCTGCAGAGCTTGCACTGATAAGGACCGAGCCTGTTCTCGATCTTGGCCAGCTCCGCCCTCGCCTCTTCGGTGACTTCAACGATGTTGAATGCCGGATCGATGTCGCCGGTGACTACAGCCTCGTCCGGGCCGAGGATCACGGTGCCCGACACTGGGCTGCTGGTGTCCTCGTCGAACTTCAATCTCCGGGCGTGTTTCTTCTTAGGTCTCTGCAGCAGCTTCTCGCTGGAACTGGATCTGGAGCCAGTGGAGACAGCGTTGCTGGTCGTCGATGCCGGACTGGAATCTTCCTCCCTAACTTTCCTTCTGGGGCACTGCGGCGGCGACGGTGTGCTCGGTGGAGTCATCGGCGCGTGCTGCATCCCTTGCAAATGATGCTGCGGCGTCAACAGTAGCTGTTGATGGTAACTTTGTACGGACTGTAGATGACTAGGACTGGCCAGAAGGAGTTTCTGATTGTGCGTGTAATATTTCGATGCGATCTCATTCGGAACGAACGGAGCCAATCGAGTAGCTTCGTCAACGGTCTTCTCCATCGGTTCTTGTAAGGATTCATTTTTCGACAGCAGCTGTTCGTAGCTGGAATGACTGTGCACGGAGGAACTTCGAGGAACGTCGAAATCGTTTACTATCAATGTACCCGATTCTTCACTGTTCCTTCTGTATCTGACGTCCTCCTTCTCTATCTCGTCCAAAGATCTTAGATCCTTCTTGTCTCCGATGGGAACTTCGATCTTCGGTGTGCTGGACGCGGGTGGCGGTTTCAGAGACAGATCCAGTGGGCACGGAGTGGACGATCTCGACAGATCCCATGATTGCAGAACGTGGTGTTCAGGAATCCTCGGGTAAGCCGCAGGATTCTCCATAGGAATGTGCCAGTTGGTAGCACCGTACGGATGCTGATGGATCTCGTCGCTGTAGTAACCCAGGTAATTCAGCCCGGGCGCGAGGAACGCCCGCGGCAGCGAACTGTGCAACATGCCGATGTTCGTCTCTGGCAACGATCTTCCTTACGGCGTCCCTTTAAACGGACCATGCGTTCAGCATCCCGGCAGTTTGAATCTCATCCCGTTTCACAGACTCTTCGGCTCGATCACGAGATCTTCAACGAGATCGGATTCCTCGTTCCTGTCACTGGTTCACCGCCGCTGTCGTCTATACTTAGAATATACTGTACACTATCTTCCCCGTTGGCGTCTGGACGCCGTTTGACAGAAGGACGCCAGAACAGCGTCTGGTATATTCGAACGCTCCGCCTGGAAGCTCGTCACCGTCTTCTCTCTTATTGGTCAAACGATTTCCAGCCCCTAGCCCCCACTGTCGGGACTGATTTCCACCCCTCCGGTGGAATTCTGGCGCGTGCTCGTGTAAACGCTCATCCACCCCCGTAACGTCGACCACCGTAACGGCGTAACTATAGATATATAATGAATGTACGCTATGCCGTCACACGCTGCTGCTTCGCAGCCAGCGAACGACGACGACGACGTCGTACCCCTGTCGATTCTTTAATAGAGAATGCCACCCCTTTGAACAGATCCACGGTAATTCTTCTTCTTTCGGATTTCTTCTATGCACCAGGAATTTATTTATTACACATACTCTCAGTAGAACTAAATCTTATACACTTTCACCGATCGTTGATTTATAAAAATGAATAAGAAGGAAAATGCCAATTCATTAAGCAGTCCTCTTTTTATTTGTATTGAATTCTTACCAAAAAAGGGTAAGAGGAAATACATGTTCGTCAAAACGCGATCGATTCTTTGAGAACAAACGTCGTTCATTTGAGAACGATATAAAGTTAGATACACGGTAAGTATTAGCAAGCAGATTTTCACGATTCGTCAGTACGTGGAGTAGGGAGGTTTTAGCGCTCTGTAATTTGAGTATCGAACGCGTAACGGTGTTTTCAGACGTTTATGCATACGTAGCCGGAAGCGGAGAGTGCAACACGTGGTAAAATGTTTCGCGGAGTATCAAATAATCATGGGAAATCCGTATCGACCGACTTATCCCGCGTTAATACCTATATATTTTATGCGCATCGCAAGCGGTAGCAGTACGTGTTTCTGTGTAATAATGAATCAGTTCCCTGCCATTTGCTTTTATTCCTACCGCTAATACTTCGAATGATTACGTCAACCGTGAAATTTTCAACTTATCCCCTTATCGAAAATATGCGATCGATCCTATTATAACATGCTGACGTTAAGAATAACACTGCGAATCGTATAGCCGGAATAATATTTGGTGAAACATTATCCGTCGAGAAAGAGAAAATTCAATTCTAGTATTAATTTTCTTCGAGGGAATCGTTTCGTCGGTAACGGCAACCAAGTTAGCAACGATTTCGTCGATTGCTGATTGTCGTTACTCTGACGAACGCCTTGACGAGGCCTCAACAGGCTCTTGTCCAATTACAGTACGCGATTGTCCAGACCTGAAGGTTCCCAAGGGTAAGGATTAAGTACGAAAATCGGGTGGAACCCTCCACACGTTCACACGTAAGTCTATTGACATGGACGTGGAAACGGTGGTCTCGTTGCACGCTGAATCCATCAGCGGCGCGAAATTATTAATAACGATTAATCGAACACAGTCCGCTGCTAATTAAGTAAGAAGATCAAGAGATTACGATGCGGCCACGGAATCACAGGCCTCAAGGACCTCCGGCCCCTGACGAGTCATATCCACGATATACGTTTCGTTCTTAATTTGTTTGCGATTTCAAACAAATTGTTTCCTCTTTAATACATACATCGTATATCGTATGGTATCGATAAAAAAATATAAATATTACTCTGTTTCCCCGAGCTATAAAGTCCATCAAATTTGAAATTGAAAAATAAAATACGAATGATCAACAAATATACTTCGTCTTTCAAACGTGATCATTGATACAAACCTAGATTTAACTGTAAAAAGACTGGAGGTATTCTTTTCTTCTACGATAAAGAATAATTCTTTCAGCTGTAATTATAAATTGAAAGGACATTAAACATTTGGCCGTTCTATTAAACAAAGTTTGTAGTTGCGGAACTTTCTCTAAAACATTTCATCCGCGAAACGCGGTGGCTGAAACACAGGGAGCAAAAGGAGGAGAAACGGAGACTTCCAGGACAGACAAGCTTTTTGCTTGCGCGGATGTCGGCGAGTGGCTCCCGCATCCGCTGGTATGGAGGGAACGAGAGAGCAGTTCTACATATTTGATGCGATTTTAATGTCTCTGCCCGGCATATCCGCGTCCTGTGCACCAATAGCGGCAGGAACGGCAAGCCACCGCACGAGGCACCACCGACTACCGTGATGCTCTAATCGGCTTACGCAACAAGCCACCCTTATCCTGGGGCACCCATCGGTACCGTACTTGCCTCACCTCAACGGGAACAATCTTCCTCCAAGCCGTCGCTTTCAGCGATGCCAGTTTTTGATTCTACCTTACGGTTCTCTCTAGCCGCTTCCCATCATTTTAAAATATACATGTGCACACCTACCTTTTTGCCCGTCTTGGAAAAAATCCGCCCGCTGTTGCACTTCCTTCTTTAATAGTTGAATTTGTTTTCTTCCCTTGTACCATTCACCGTTCTTGGAATCTGGAACAGAAATATTTAATTCCTCATTATAATGATATGAACGTTTTATAGATTATAACAAATAATTCACAACATTCATACATTTTTTCTCTTGATATATAATTAAAACGGTTTTATATGTAAGAAATTTAATTTGTCCGGCTACGTAGAAGTTTTTCTGATTTATCAACTAGTAACTGCGATCGCAAGCGACGTACTTTCGTACAGATGGTGCAGAGTGCCCGTTAGTTCACTGTAGAGACCTACTCTGTCGAGTCACAGTGCACAGACACTGATGTGAGAATTGTCACTTATCATGTGTCTGTGGAGTAATAATTATAATCTTCATCAGACAGGATTTCCTGGTTATACGAAGTTCAAGAATTGTATCTAATTATATCGTTTTTTAAAAAAGTACAAGTTGCAGCAATAAAAGTTTATATAATACATTCACCGACTTTTAACCCTTTACGGTCGTATGTCTGCTCTCAGCCACCAAAGCCTTTTTACCGTTCCGGTCGTATGCATAGAGATAATATAAATTAAAAAA